GGCCAAAATGGGATGCATAATTCCTAAACTTAAAGGTATTTGATTTAATGATAATACTAGAAATGATCTTGAAGCAAATTCATTAGATATCATGAATGTAAACATGACTATATAATTTCCTTCTGCATTTATTTTTTGTACTAGCTTAGGTAAAGAATGTATTTATGTGTATTTAAACTATTTGATGGTGGCAGTAAACTCACAATTGGTTAGAAGTAGACATATGATTAAAACATAGATTTGCCTGGCTCCAAAGCATCTTTCTGCCACAATAAGGAAAAGTCATACAGAATTTGAAAGATTAACATAAGGTAGTAATGTTGGAGATACTATTTTACCATGTTTTGCAATTTGCAAAGTTTATTTTTTTAAAAAAAGAAAAAAAATCCCTGTTACATTTATCTGACTAGCCTGTCTTTGTTTATTTTTCCTTCTTGTATACTTTAAAACAAAAATACACGCACACATTTTCAGTTTAACCTTTAGTGCCCATAGATAAGCAGTGAAGCAGGTCTATGTCTGATGCAACAAATCCTGAAGACCTGTCTTCAAATGATTTAGTTTAACCTACAAGCTTCTAAAAGTGAAAGTCTTTGATTCATAGTCAATACTATGAATTGGAAGTATACCATCAGTGTTTTATAGAACTACAGGTTCTTTTATCTTTAGTTGAAAATTAGTCTGTATTCAAAAAAGTAAAGAAAATACACATATATTCAAAATTTAATAAACCTTTTATTTGGTGATGAACTTGCCTTACCTTTAAAAAAAAGGTAGAATCATAGAATTAACATTTTTTCCAATATTCATCAAAATACCAGCTTTACCAATTTAGAAAATACTATTGTTCTTTTTTAAAAGATAGCCAGTCCTTATAACATTAAATAGAAAGAGTATAACAAAATAGTTTTTTTAAAACATTTGGGTTTTAATCATAAATTATATTGACTTTATTACATTTTGTTTGTGGTCTGATATCTGAAAAAAAAAACTGAACAATGGAAGAAAATATTTGGATGTTTTTAAAAATAAGGTCTCACATTTTATATTCTGATATATATATATACACACATATATATATGATGAGTAATATAGCTTGGAAAGATGCTGCTCTTTTATAAAATAATTGCATTCAAGTCAGTAGAATTTAATCCATTTCATTGTCTCTGAACTTCTAAATGAAATTATGAAAACCAAATCATATGCTTTTAAATAAATTAGCAAAGTTCGTTTGTGATTCAGAATCCCTGTGGGATTACTTTCTTCAGTGGTGGGAGGATATCAGTTTCATTATACTATTTCCAAGTCACAGAATAAAGTAAACTATCAATTGATCACATCCTTTTAGGGTGAAACCCCATCTCTACTAAAATTACAAAAATTAGTTGGGTGTGGTGCCGGTTGCCTGTAGTCCCAGCTACTCGGGAAGCTGAGGCAGGAGAATCACTTGAACCTGGGAGGTGGAGGTTGCAGTGAGCTGAGATCACACCACTGCACTCCAGCCTGGGTGACAGAGCGAGACTCCATCTAAAAAAAAAATAAAATCAATCACATTCAAGCTCAGAAACAGGTTGGTTGGTAATAGCCATTATCATCATTAGACCAAGGAGAGATGCACAGCCATTTAAAGAAGCAACTTAGGTTGCTATTTCCTCTTTACCCAAAGGGTCCTCATAAAAGGAGTTAAGTGTAAACTCTCAGGAAAAACAAACAAACAAACAAAAAGATATCTATCCTATACTTACAAATATCTAGGAATCGTAAAAATTCAGAGGAGTAGGAAATGTGAAAATAGTATTAACTTTTCAGATTATCTTGGTTTTATGGTACATAATGTTAAGAAGCATATGTAAGAAACATTATAGTAATTAAATGTCTCAGACATATCAAACTATAATGAATAGAAAATATATGCAAAAGTACTTAGATTGTAAAAGTGGACAAGGAGTAACAAAATGAAATCTTAATTGAAAAAAAAGCGAAGTAAACATTCAAGAAAAAGAGAACAAAACTAAACTTTTAGACAATGATTTGTTTTTTCTGCATTTTTCTTAAATTTAATAAACTTTTATTTCAAAAGAAATATAAATGGATTATAAAAATTTAGAAAATACAAATTAGTAAAAATAAGAACACTGTATTCATACTACCCAGAGACAACTACTATTTAGTATTTTATTTTATATTATTGCAGATCTATGCATCTGAGGATATATTTGTAGATATATATGAATATAGATTTTTTCATATTGAAGTTCTACTGTTTGGAAACCGAATCTTTTCAGTTTATGGTGCACGTCTTTCTGTTGCAGCAAATTATCTTCTCATCTTCTATATAATTTATATTCAGATCTCTCAAGTTTTCCAAAAAGACTCTATAACTGGTTTGTCTAAACCAGGATCTAATCCAGGATTACATTTTCTATCCAGTTGCTATGTCTATTAAGTCTTCTTAAGCTACGTCAGAACCTTTTTCATGGCACTCACTGAATAAAAAAGAACCTGCAAGTTGTCTTATGGAATATTCCCTCCTCTTGATTTCACTGGTTGCTTGTTTGTGGTTAATGATTTATATTTCAAAAGTAAATTCTGTGGGAATAGGAAGAATGTGGCCTCTTAAAATGTTCAATAAAACACTTATGTATGATTTTTAAGTACAGAAATTGTAGTACTTTATTTCTTCAGGTTGTTTGTACCTCTACCATTCCTGTAGAGTGGTAGAAAAACAGTAAAGAAATTCAAGTAAACCAAAAATATTGCTGTGAGAAAATACTGAAAGTAAATTCTAACTATAAAAACAGAAATTACTGTCTTGAGTTTTTGATTGTCTTATTTTGCCCATTACTTGCCTGTATAGTAATTATGTGGCAATTGATCTCCACCAAAATAAAATAAAAGAGAGGTATTATTTTATTCTCCTGGAAGTTTGTTCCTAAAAAATAACAACAACAACAACAACAAGCAAACAAAGAAACAAACAAAAAACAAAATAGAGCATTTTCTTTTCATGTACAGTGACATTGACATTTACATATATTTACATAAATATGTATACTACCTATTATTTTGCAAAATAAATAAGCAGAGAAAGTTTAGAGTTGGTCTGAATCTACAGTTGACAAAATGTTGGACACTAGTCTCAAATATACGTAAATATTTTGCAGTAAAATTTGGACTGAGAAAACAAAAATACAACCCTTTCAATAATAGTGAGTTTCCAGGGATATGTTAAGCATTTGGACTAAAAATTATACCTTTGGTTGAAACATAAAATATTTCCTGAAATACATATTTAACTTGCATGCTCAAAAATATGATCTTACACAAACAAAAACATATCACAGTGATGAGTTTTTGTCCATACTATAGTTTAATTTTCTCAGCAGAGATTTTTATATCTGCAGAAAATCCCATTTAGAAAAATCTAGTTGAATTATAGCAACATTTCGGTATACTATAGTACTTTGAGCTGTCAGGAAACAACCTTTAGGATGAACTACCTTTTTAGATTTTTCTGCAGTTTCATATGGCAATATAGTAGTCATGATCTTTAAAAGACATGATTTCATTTATAGAAGAAGTTACACAGATTTTTTTGTAAGCTTTTTAAACTTTTAAGATTTTATTAAGGATCATCCACCATTAATATTTCTGATGTATCTCTGAGCAGAATTTTATTTAGCAAGAGAAAAGTATTTTTTAAGAAAATGTAGTATAATTTCTTTTAAAAATATAAATACAAGATATAAAATGCTTTATTATGGAAAGCATGAGCATGCAGGAAGTTCTTTTTTAGTTTTGATATCCATTGTGGCTTCATGGTCACATATTTTTTAGGTAACACCTGTGTGTTTCACTCAAGATTATTTCCTATGGTATACAAAATTCATATGATTAAGAACTCTGACCACGGAAACCTCAGAGATACTGCTCTACTCTAGAATAAGTTAAAAATCACAACTACTGCTGTTTAAGCAAGGAAAAAAATTATCTAAGAAGTGATCAGTTTCAAAATTATATCTTTGCTAACAATACATCACAAAAACATTTAAGAGTGAAGATTTCCAATCAATCTCTTCTTAATCCCTTTTTGGTACTGTTTACCACTTTTCACGTAATGCTTCATGTGCACACCTCTTTTATGAGTATATGATGCTTAGACACACTATTGATTCTAATACTCTTGTCGTTATTCTGAAAACATGTCTGAACCAATTCTTTATCCTTCTCCTGACCTTTTTCCTACCAGAGTTACACTAATAAGAGTTTCAAATAGCACTTTTGGCAATAAAAACTCTCGTATTGGTACCCTTATACTCCAGAAGCATGGGGTTTCTATGTGTTGAGACCACTCATTTTTGCATTAGAGCAGTATTTCCTAACTGGGGATGATGTTGACAGACCTTTGGCGATGTCTGGAGACATTGTCATGACTAGAGGATGGGGGTGCTACTATCTCGTGGATGGAAGTCAGGGATGCTACTAAACATCCTAAATTGCACAGGACACTTCGTGACAACAAGCTAGTATTCAGTCTCAAATGTCAGTAGTGCCACTGTTGTGAAAGCCTGCTTCAGAGAAATACTGAAAATAAAATTACAAACCACAACAATATTATTACAATGTATTTCCTGTTGATTCATATATAATAGCAAAATATTAAATGCACCAACACCAATGTTTTGGCATATGTTTTTCATACTGCTAGCAAGTGTTACATTTTTTTCATCAAATGGCATGTTGTGACTGTTCATCCTCAAAGATGAGTTGTATGTGCATGGTTTATTATTCGTAAAACACACACAAAAACAACTATAGTCTTTACCATAAGAAAGGTTTTGGTAGAGCAAAACCTAATGCACTTTTATATTTGCATTTCATCTAAATGACTAGATTTGTGAAATGTGATAACGTCTTGTACAACTGCTGTTTTCTCTTCCTCTGTCTTCTCTCTCTTCATACTTTTGTTTTGTTTTGTTTTTTCTCATTCTGGTTGTCAGAACTCCCCTGATTGCGGCTGGAGTAATTGGTGGGCTCTTCATTCTGGTCATTGTTGGTCTGACATTTGCTGTTTATGTTAGAAGGAAGAGCATCAAAAAGAAAAGAGCCTTGAGAAGATTCTTGGAAACAGAGGTGAGGTATTTATTTCTTCTCTTCATGTGTTTGGGGATTTTCATCAGGTTTAGAAGGTTTCGATGATGTTCAGTTATTTAATCCAAGTAAAATTCTGTTCAATGTCCTAATTAAATTTTTATTTTATAGTCCATTAAACAAAGCTTGTGAAAAGTCAGATTATATCGTAAAAATAGTCAAGGCTTCAAGGGGATAAATGGGAGTAGTCAACAAAATTATTGTATTGGGGAAAGTATCTGTTATTTTGTGTGTGTGGTTGGGGGGATTCCATTAGCAAGCTCTAGACAGGGGATATCTCTATAGCAGCAGATCTAGAAAATATCTGCATCGAAAATATCTCAGTGACAGAGCTAGAAAAATGTTAGAAAGAGAGAGAATCTTTCTGTTTCAGAACAAAACTAAACAGACAAGGAATACATGTTTTAATTAGGATCATTAAATTGGTAGTCAATGATCTCATTACACCAGCAGTGAAAGACTAAGCTTACAGGATAAAGCTTAGTATTGTAATCACACAGAACTTACAACACAATTTATGGGATGCATTTAATATTATGCATGGCGGTTATTGTGAGTATGTAAATTACTCATAAATGATTATAATGTCTTTTATATTGCTACACCGAGTTCTCTAGCACAAAAGCAGATAGTTTTCGTGGTACAGGATACAGGGAAAAAATAATTACAGGAGACTATGCATTACCAGACCCTTCTCAACTTCCATCCTGCCTTTCTCCTGATACACACATCTGTGCCTATCTAAACAATTCAGAGCAATTCTGTTCTGAGATAAGCTTATCCAACGTTTGTTGTTTTTCTCATTGTCAGTCTGACAATTTGACTTTTCCTTTGAACACTGACAGGAATGAGAGGAATGGGAATTTTAATTCACTCACACATTTTGCATACTGATAATGAATTAAATTTTAGCTCTTTACCCAGAAATAAAATCTAGATAGTAGTATCCTGTGAAAGTTTCTGGAGACTACCTTACAGCTTCTTCTAGGAAAACACTTTCTAAGGATTAAAGTTATCTGCAATTGGAATGAGCTGTCTCATGAACAGACATGTTCAAGCAAAATAAAGGTAGTCAATTACATACATGGGAAAAACTAAACATGATTCCTACTTTAGCTGGAAGCTTATGGAAGAGCAATTTGATTACTGTTAATCTTGCACATGTGAATGAAAATTTGGACATGACACATGTGCTTTGTGCTATGCATGTTTGCAATTTAGCTAGGATACTGGAGGCAGAGAGAACTCTATCTCATGGTCAGCTTGAGGCAGTTGTTGAGAGAATTCTGAGAAGCGAAGTATTGTAAACTAGAATTGGAAAGGAATTGAAAGCTTGGAACACAACATTTAGGTGACTGCATAATGGAAGAGAAATTCCCTTAACCACACACAGGGAAGGCTCATTGCCATGAAAAGAGTTGTGTTGCTTTATCTTGGTTTGTTTTTATAATGCAGTGCTTTATAAGAATGTCCTTCAAACTGTCATTTCCTTACTAAATAAACACACACTTATTGGTTTTATAAGCAGGTTCTGTTTTTATAGAAAATTATTCCTTAAGACTAAATTATTTTACATTTGGTGGTTAGATAATCGTAGAATTCCTATTTTTTTCTTAGTAAAAGAAAATAACTATGATTTTCTACCATCTTTTAAATAAAGGGGGAATTTTTAAGACGGTCAATTTAAATCTTTAAATACTGAAGCTAGAAATCTGCCTCAGAAGTGAACATTTATTGAATCTTGATATATTGTTTCCATACACTTAAAGTTGGTACACGTTCCTCAAATCATTTTGCTCCAGATTGTCTTTTTTATGTTACATGCATAAAACTAGAAAACATATTTTTTCTACACATGCTTACTGAGATGCACTGTAAGCTTGATGCTTTGGTAGATGGTGTGATTCAAAAATGTATTAATGAGACATGATCTCATCCTTTGAAAAGTAACAGATTTAGTGCCTACAATATGCCAGGCAACATTCTAGAATTTTCCACGTATGTTATCTCATTTCATCCTTTCTCAAGTTTCTAAGGTGATTATTGCTATACCTATTTCACAGACAAGAAATAAAGGTCTAGGAAGGGCAAATTGCTTCCTGTGAGTGGCAACACTGTCATATAAACCTCCAATTTTAAACCCACATGTCTGTAAAATATATTAAATGACACAGAAACATGTTTTTGTGAAATATATTAAATGATACCCAAGAAAAAAGAAGGCTAAAAAGGTGAGGTAGAATTGTAAAGTTTTCAAAATATGAAATTATTGCATGGTATATGCCAAAGCATATACACAATGTATATTTTAAGTATATCTCATCCAAGATGCTGAAGCCCCCTCCCAGTATTGTGTGATTTTATGTGACTTTTGTATATGATTTTTAAAAATGATTCATGAGTTATTCATTATACATATAGCATATGTATCAAAATCTACCCAACGATTTCTGTATGGTTGAGTTGCCTTCAAATAAAGGGAACTCAGTTGAGCAATCATTTTGAAATTTTTCGAATAATTTAGTGATTCTTTCTGAGATTTTTAAAATGTGACTTGAATGCAGTTCTATGTTATCAAATTTACATTTATATAACTTAAATTTGAAAATGAAATTGAAGATGAGTTGTCAGACTCACAATTAAAAAAAAAATTGAAGATAACCTAAGTTTATTGGTAATTTTTGATTACATTCTTCCTAAAATTCTTGCTTTAGCTACACTTACCTTCCCTCAAGAATCTTCCACTAATTAAGTAGGCCATGATTTTCACAGAAGCATGGTAATTCATAACCAAGCTGCAGCGCCACAGTGCACTTAGCTTTGTAAAGAGATACTTTGAAATACTGTGGTGAGTTCAAGACAATTTGAGTAGTAGTAGCCTTTGATTATTATGCTGGAAAAAAAAAAGACTATTTGTAAAGTTTAGTTCCTTAATTTAACTTTAAAAAGACAAAGAAACTCCTATTTCTTGCACTTGCCCTTTTACTCATACATAGATAAAAACCTAAAATTTTAACATAGGATACAGGCTTTTTGGTATCCAGAGCCTCTCTTAGACGTACATTTTTTTTTCTCACATATGCCAGTGATTGGCACGCATGCACATACTTTGCCCCTTCTCATTCATTCCCCCAACTGAATCACATAGCAATGATGATATCTAAAACTATCAGCCTAATTTCACTACTTTGACCACACCCAGCCCACCCCATGATTAGGTAGGTTTCCCACCTTACTTTCACCCTTCTGACCTGTCCCACTCCCTGTTGTATTCTGCTGTATTTCTTCCTCCTCCTTCCTCTTGCTGTGCCCAGGCTGCTTTTCACAGTGGCCCTCCCAATGTCAACCCAATTTCATTATCTCAAGACTTAGACATCTCAATACTTGATTTTAAAGTGTACATTTTTTAGGAAGACAAAACTAGTGAGCCTCATTCCCCAGTAGTTGTTTGATTCCTTGCATTTCATAGCATTCACTTATGATCCAGAATCAAATCATAGAATTGTAGAACTATTGATCTAACAGGTACACTTGGGCCTCGGTACTTAAAATGTGTTCGAGGATCACCATGGTACCTGGGCATCCCTTAGAGTTCTATGCAAATGCAGACATTTCAGGTCTACTCCAGACCTACTGAACCAGGACCTGTATTTAACAAGAACTTGAGGTAATTCAGATGTACATTAAAGTTTTAACAGCACTGTCCTAGAGTTTTGGCATTGTGCTTTTTTTCCCCTCTCCTCTGACATATTTGTCCTGGCTTCCCAGGTATGTTTTAAGCTCTAAGAAGGCAGCATTTCCTTTCCTTAATGCATCAAATCTCGTACCTAGTATGCCTCAAGGTAGGCACACATTTGTTACTTGTGTTTGCTCTGACAAAGAGCAGGAGAAGAGAAAGGACAGGGTCTGAAAGAATGCATAAATGTGTCAGTGAATGGTGAGTGGTGCATATTACAAAGGTATTGGGTGTCAAGGCAAACTATATTTGTGCGTTTTTGCTTTGTGAGAAAGAGAACCAGAGAGAGAGAGAGAGAGAGAAAGAAAGAGAGAGAGGACTGACTATTGGATTGAAAGTATAATCTTCTTCCTTCCGCTTTGCAGTTGGTGGAACCTTTAACTCCCAGTGGCACAGCACCCAATCAAGCTCAACTTCGTATTTTGAAAGAAACTGAGTTGAAGAGGGTAAAAGTCCTTGGCTCGGGTGCTTTTGGAACGGTTTATAAAGTAAGTAAAAAACAATGCATATCGTTAGTTATTTTAAGTTTTGTTTTATACGTTTAAAAAATAATAGCCAATGGAGTTATTACTTAGACAACCTAATTTTCCTATAATATTCAGAAAGGAAGACTTATAATATTGAGAAATTGCTGCACAAATGAATTCATTAATTTTTATTGAATGAGCTGGGATGGATACAGTCTTGAGAGAAAAGCAAGAAACTGATACAAAGCCAAGTATAGTTTTTTCTTTATACCTTTCTGAGCCCCTTATGTCATATTCCTTTTGGCAAATTTCTATTTTTATCCAACTATCAAGCCACAACCCATTTTCCATTACCCCTACACAGTGCTCCATGAACCCCTGACATGCCTGGGCAATATGCCATAATCCTTTATTCTTTTTTACTTCTGCTTTTTTATCCAAAGCCTCCCCATCAGGACCCTAGTAGTTGCTCTTTTTAGAATCTATTCAAATATGCTGATGTCTGCTATCTAAATCATTTTTTGCCTACCTGGTTACATTTATGATTTTGTAGATAATTACCATGGTTTTGATGTCTTTGTCATTATAAGCAAACTAAAGATGTGACATTATATGCAAAATTCAGGTCAGATAGGAGGAAAAGATGACATTATGTGTTTTCAATAAGAGATATTTCTGGAAAGGAAAAGCTCAATTGATGGCATGTGTATGTTTATGTATTTGCCTTAATTACAAGACCAATTCAGAAGCTAGGCCCAAGATTAAATGTGGTGAAATATATTTTAATGGTAAATAACAAGATTAAGAAACTCTTCTGGGCTAATGCTGAATTATTCTTGTAATATCGATTACTACAATTCCCAAAAGTTACTTTGGCATTTTACATATATATAAATAAATATATAATATATAAATATATAAATATACAATATATAAATATATATGATATAATATATATTTATATACATAAATTTATACATATAAATATAAATATATAAAATATTTTATATATAAATATATATTTATTACATTATATATATAAAATGTCAAAGTAACTTTTGGGAATTGTAGTAATGGATATTTTATGTATATAATATATATCAATATATGTATATAAATTATATATATTTGTATAGTATATATTATAAATAATATATATTTATATATAATATATAAATATATAATATATTAAATATTATATATAAAAATATATGTTTATATATAATATATATAAATATTTTATATATATATGTTTTTTGAGATGGAGTCTCACTCTGTTGCTCAGGCAGTAGTGCAATGGCATAATATCCACTCACTGCAACCACAGCCTCCTGGGTTCCAGTGATTCTCCTGCCTTAGCCTCCCCAGTAGCTGGGATTACAGGCACGTACCACGATGCCTGGCTAATTTGTGTATTTTTAGTACAGATGAGGTTTCACCATGTTGGCCAGGCTGGTCTCGAACTCCTGACAAGTGATCCACTCACCATGGCCTCCCAAAGTGCTAGGATTATAGGCATGAGCCACCATTCCCAGCTGGCATTTAATATATTTCTTAAAGCTATGTGTAAGCCTACATTTTACAAAATATCTGTTAAAGTTAATTGGATCTTAGAAATGTTGCATTTCAAAATATTCTTCTTTTTAAAACAGTGATTTATTTTAAAAATACATTAATAATTAGAATATAAACCTTAATTTTTCTCTCATAGTGCTCCAAAATAATCTAATATCCTTAAAATAAAACTTGTATTCTAAGGTCAAAATGTAGAAGTTTCCTAATCTTTTATCATGCATGTTTTATTCAGTTAAATTTGATATTAACTTGCAATAAGTTTGAGCACCTACTTTGCATAGGCACTGTTCTAGACTGACTTGATGCCTTTTCTAATCTTCAGATTTGATGTATGTTCAAAGAAACACAAATTTTTCTGTTTCTCAATTTGCATTATGCTAGAAAAAGCCAGACGCAGACTGTATCATTTTATACCCTTAAAATTTGTATCTAGTTACTGCAATTGTATTTACATCTTTAATAATTTTAATCTGTACTCATTTCTACAATAAAATGATATCAACAAATTATATGGATAATAAATGTAAAGTCCTAAATTGCAGTCTTGATTGTTTAAATTGACAAATTGAAAGTACTGCTGTGAATTGGATCCATATTGGCAATCATTCTGGATCATATAGCTGTGCCATAAACCCCTATTCTAATGATTGGTTGCAGGATTTTTCCCCACCTGAATTATCTAGTAAATGGTACAGTTCTCCATATTCACAGATGTAACTGAAGGTTTCTGTGCTGAAACATAGACAAGTCAGTAGAAAAATATTAGGGCTTCCTGCCTTTAAATGTTGGCCTGTTACCGATTCTGCATGTGGCATTGACAAAATTTAAAGTAAGTGGGTAAATGTATGTGTTAATGAAAAACAGAAATAGGGAGAAAAAAGATACAGATAAATGGCCAAATTTAAATTTATTGTAACATACTTCCATTTTTAAGATAGCTCAATCTTGGATTGTTCCTAGAATGTAATCACTCCTATATTTTTAAAGATAATGTAGTCTGCAAATTAAATTTTATTTTAAACCTTGGGTACCCTATAACTCAAGACTAAACACTATCTAATGTCCTCAGCAGAGAAAAATGTTACTGATTTAAACATTTAATAATAAACCTTTATTAACTTGTATTAAGAGCATTTATTTGTCTATTGTGCATGAGTGTTTTACATTAATTGAAATTACTTGTAGTGAAAGTTTACTGGACATTTCATCAGTTTTTTTGAATTATATGCCTGAAGTGTCTATGGTTGACTCTTAAGTTTTAATCAATAGATCAATTGTTATGAAGACATACTGTCTTAAACTATAAAGGATTATTCTTGACCATAGAAATGCAAATTGGCTTAACCAATTATTTGATTACTTTTTTTCTCCTAGTTAGAAATATTCTCTGTTTAAGTATAAAGATTAGGTCCAATATCATGGGTATCAAATAGTAAAATTTTTAACTAGTTGGTCCCAGAAAATAGTGAAATAATGAATGAATAATGAAATAGTGAAATAATGAATAATTTAAATAAATGTTTATTTTACAAAGCAATATAAAATACTTTACATTGACTTTATATTCTTATTTTATTTATTTATTTATTTATTTGTTTATTTATTTATTCTTGAGACAGGGTCTTGCTCTGTAGGCCAGGGTGGATGGCAGTGGTGTAATCACAATTCACCCTAGCCTCAATCTCCTGGGCTCAAACCATTCTCCCACTTCAGCCTCCTGAGTAGCTGGGACCACAGGCATGTGGCATGAGCTACTTGGTTCATTTTTTTTTTATTTTTGGTAGAGTTGGCATCTCTCTATGTTGCCCATGCTGGTCTTGAACTCCTGGGCTCAAGAGACCCTCCTGCCTCAGTCTCCCGAAGTAGGGGGATTACAGGGATGAGCCACCGTGCCTGGTCTATATTATTGTAAAAGTACACTTTAGGGATACTTTAATATTGATGCCATGTCTTTATAAAGTAACCTTCTCTGTGGTTACTCTACTGAATAATGAATAATAAGCCTGTTCTCCACCTTAGATAACATCAGTGAGAAAATGCAGCCTATGAGTACTGGGCTTTTTTTCTTTTTTCTGTTTCTGCTTTATTTTATTTTAATTTTATGCAAGGAACTTGGCTTATTATTTTGCATTTGACACATGGATTTCCCTATTCATTCTGCCTAGGAAGAATGCAACTACTTTCTAAAAGTTAAAGTCTTTTATTTTCTTTATTATTGTTACTATGTTTTAAAATAATTCTTGTGTTCATGCCTCCTGATGATACTGTAACTTTGAGTAACACAAATACATATGTTGTAGCATAAAAGTTCAAAGTGAAAAAATTTTGAATTTTTTTCTTTATGACTATAACCAGCTGATATTAAGAAAGACATGGAAGTAAAGATGTTTTGTTCAGGAATAACAAACTATTATTTTTCATTCTTTCATTTTAATGTTAAAAGTCTTATAAGAAATATTTTCTGATGTCAGGGCTAAGAAGCTAAAATTTGAGATTTTTTGGTTTTTGTCCTCATTATCTCATATTTGCTTTTGCATTGATTTGGGAAAATACACCTTTTAAAATGCATTTTTGTACAACCTGTGCATCTTTGTATGTCTTATCAAAATCACTGTCCTCATTCAAATGTTATAATTCATTTTACCCAGAAATGCTATTATTTAACTTAATGTTGTATTTCACTCAAACTCTACCAACTTTATACTTTCCCAAGGGATAGATCCTGTTCAGATATTATAATTATATTTTGATAGGAAAAGAGAATTAACAATAGCCAATATAAATATTTTATATTTCTTCCGAAATAATACAAATCCTTCACACACACACGTATACACATGCTTTAATAATGTAGACAAATTAATCTGTGCTCAATATCCCCTAGCACTTGCCTTTGAAAACTAAATCCATTCATTTTTGAAAATTAATTCTTAAATCAGTTTGAACTTGAAGAACATGAGAATATGCTTTTTAAATTGTTTTTCTTGCTGCTGAATATTTAGATAATATTCAACCTGAAAAGAACTTCTAGCATTACTTAGCCCAGTCTTCTAAATTACAGATGATACAACTGAGATTCAAAAAAGTAGAGCAACCATCTCAAAAAGTCGATGATATCATCCAAATAAGATATTCTTTTGCTATCCTATTTCCATGCTGTCTTCACTATTCAAAGCCTTTTTCATGCACACAAGTAGAATTTGACAGTAGTGTAAACATCTTGAGAGCAGGATATATATATATATATTCTATATATGTAATTATATATATGAGTGTCATCTTCACATAATGAAAGCAGACAACAAAGTTGCAGAGTAACTTGTAACATGTAACAAGTGGTAAATAAATGTTTGTTGATTGAATGTTATAATTTCAAACTTGTAAGTTATATTGTAAGAACTTAATAGGTTGAGATGTCATATTTAATGTGAATTTTTTTTCCCAAAGGGCATTTGGGTACCTGAAGGAGAAACTGTGAAGATTCCTGTGGCTATTAAGATTCTTAATGAGACAACTGGTCCCAAGGCAAATGTGGAGTTCATGGATGTAAGTACAGACACCCAGGCAATCACATTTTTCTCCATTATCAAATAGCCTGCTTAATTAAAGCAAAGTAAAACCAAAACTCCACAACTTACAAATTTCTCCTATGGAAATGTTATAATCTTATAATTAAAGACATTTCTAAGACCACTTCACATTGTATTATACTTTTTAGATCACTTCTGCTTCACAACTATCTGCCTAGATAGTTCACTAGAACTTGCCTTTAGAGTTTGAAGATATTTACAATCCCCAAGGTGAATTATCTACCACGTTGATTCAGACATGTAATGTTCTTATATTTTCTTGTTAAATATAACCAAATAGCTCTCAAGTGAGAGCAATACATAATTTCAACTGAAAAGATATTTAGCAACCAAAAATAGTCAATTGTATTAAATAACCAAAACTCATGAGTATATTTCTTAAAATTAGTTGCACTGAACAATATTAGAAAGACTATGTGGTGGTGGTAATAAGTCACTAATATTTACAAAGCATTTACTAAGTGCCAAACACTGTTACAAATAACTCACAAATAATAACTTATTTATTCCTCAAAATATGACAGACCAAGAACCTGGGGTTAACCCAAGGTTACCCCAAGGTTACAAAGTTAGAAAATGGCAGGTCTAGACTTTCAGTTCAGGAAGCCAGCTTGGGTAGGGAATCAGTAAACTTTTTTTATAAGGCTGGATTATAGTCAGGCTTTTACATGCTATGTGTTCTCGGTGGCAGCAACTCAACTCTGCCCTTTTTGGTGGGAAAGCAGCCATAGATAATTAAAGCGAAACCAAACAACAAAAACTAATGCAAATGGGTGTGACTGTGTTCCAATAAAACTTTTTATTTACACAAATAAGCTTCAGGCCAGATGTTGCCTAAGGGGAAAGCAGGGGCTAAAATTGATCATTTGAAAAATTAACCATACTGCTTTATTTTATTATGGTTATGATCTATTTAGCTGAAAACACCAATCAAGATTAGTTTCTATAGCAAGTTAGTCTCTGTTAAATTTAAATTAATAACCTACCTGAGTCAGGTAATTACCACTTGACATTTATTTTTTCAATTCAAATTCAGAAGAAAAGACTCTATGGGTTAAAAAACTCGAACTATAGAATAATAACAGACCTCTAAAGAATAAAAAAAGTACTTTATAAGGTCAATCAGAACTTTAAGATTTCCCCTAGCAAAAACTGTAGATTTGAACTGTTCAGCAAATTTCAGAGAGTAGGATTGAATAAAATTATATATGTATCATGCTGTTATTTTTTCACATTCAATACAAGACATCTTGCCAGGGATTCTATCAAAGACCATATATGTTCTTTCTCTATCTTTTAGCATAATGTCTTGAGTAATAAGAATGATTTTTATTTTCAAATGACCTTCATATGAAAGATGATGCAAGCATATGCACTTTGATTTTTTTAAAAAGATAGATTGCTACATATCTCTATCCGGTTTCTCTTGTAAGCTCCTTTACAAGTTTTACAGGAGCTGTCTTTGACCTTGAATAATTTATTTGTGTATAATGCTAACTACTTTATAGAAAACTGCTTTCAGCTTAACTTATTATTGGTTCTCATATAGTAGGTTGATAATCAGCTGGTACAAACCAGCTTTTCAGATTGGTTGGTTTCATGCCTTACCAGTTGCTAAATATTTTAAATATCACCTTGTTGCATATCTACCAGCATCTATATAACAATGAGGCCAAGAACTAAATATTGTTTCTTTCTTCAGTTCTCTGAAGATTCTGACACGCCACAGCTACATGTCCTGGATCATATGTTACAATTTAAAACTGAAGCCTTTTTCAGTGATGTGCCAATTATTCAATTTGATCTTGATCATAGCTATACATTTGTGAAGGGAAATTTTTTCAAAAGTGGAAGTTATAAAGGAAAATTACAATGAGTAAAAACAGTATAGGTTAATTTGTAAAACTGGTAGAAAAAAATCTTGTCCAGCCAAGACTACAGCCAAAGCTGAAATTCACAAGAATGCTAATAATCTCTGCTGGAGGCTTGAACAGCCATTTTTGTCATATTTCCATGGAAACAGACTGGCAAAAGGGGGTTAAGAGGCTACAAAATAATCACACCTAAGAAAAAAGCTCTAAAATCCTCATCATGATTTTGAATGATTATTTGAAAGCTCCTAACCCCATCAATTTTTTTTTTTTTCTTGATCTGACATATATTCCTGTGGAAACAAGAGTGGAGATGGCAGTCTGAAGTCTTAGATTTCTGCTGAATTTTAGATGAGGCTCTGATTGAGCCATGAAAGGAGACATTTTCCTAGATGGTTGATGGATTTGGTAACCAACAGATTCAGAAGAATCTGTTCTTTTTAAAAGTTAAAAAAAAAAATTAAGGAAAATATTTTGACTGTGCCTTTTCTACTTGTGGATAGATGCTAGAAGATTAACAGATTGATGAACAGCTATCAGCAGAGTTTTATAAGTACCAGGCAGAAACTTGTCCTACTATTTTGGAGACTTCTTTCAAAACATTAGAAGGATGGCATCACAATGATTAAAATGCAGTTTAACTGACAACATCAATGGTGAATTTAACATCTAATGTAGGCTGCTGTAATTTTAACATAAACATAAGCCTATATTTGATACTTACGTTTTTAGCTCATTGGTTATGTGTGTAGATCATTATAAAAGTATTTGAATAGCAAACCACCAGGAAGTAGGTACAAGAAAAATGATTTGTAATGTGAATCTAAGGATTGAGTTGAAATTATAACTCTTCCAGAGTTACTTGGTAAAAAGTAGGAAGTTTAGCTTGTTTTAGTTTGGGTTCTTACAGATGCAGAAGCTACCCCTGAAATAAGAATATGAGTGAAAGTCATTTATTTTGGTGGTGAAGGACTCATCAGTAGGAGAGTTTAGAAATAAGACAGGGGAACTAATAAAGCTAGCTGCCATTGTAAGAGACTGGAGCTTCTTTTCACTGGAGAGACTCTGGCAGCCAGTGTAGGACATACACCTCAGAATTATCCCACTCAAGGGTTAAGGGAGCTGAAGGTGTAGAGCTGCTGGGAAAGAGCCACACTTCACCCCCTACATATCCTTCCAGCCAAGAATGGCAAAATAGGCTCAGTGGAAAGAGAAAGCTGTCAAGCAAAGAAAGGTGGGTGGGGGTCATCTGGTATAACACTACGGTAGAGTGTTCCAAGGATAACTTTCAAGCTAAATAAGAACTGCTGCAACCACGTTTTTGCAAACTAGTGTATGTGCATATTTGTATTTGTATGCTTGTTTGTACAATTCTTCAGGGGAAAAAAAACTTTCAAAGACAATGGAAATTGCACAATCTTATTAATCATTAGACTCCCTTTTCTCCACGCTAGGTTTGAAATAGAATATTCTAGATTCAATAACCACTACTATATTTATCATATAGAGCTGTGCTTTACTGGTTATTATAAAAATAACACAAATGTAACAACTTAATACTCAAAATTTATCACCACAATGAAATTTCCATTGATATTCAAGGATAAAGGAAAGGGCTTTTATATTTTCTTAGAATTTTTACCACAGGCAAAAAAAAATAAATAAGGGGCAGTTTGTGTTCAATTAAATGCTACACTAAAAGCAAGAGAAGGAGAGTTTGGTCACCCAGGGCTGTAACTCTGCTCACCTGAATATGTCTAATGGATTCATAATGACAATAATAACACACTGCTACTGAATGGCCAGTACACTCTTCATTCCCGTAAAGAAAGATCACGTTGAACAACATTAAGAAAATGACTCTAAAGGCCCACCTTCATAAGAATACCTGCATTTACACATGCTCCTAGTTCTTGTTTCAAATAGAACCATTTCATAGGGAAAATGTAGGCTTTTTTTTGTTGTTTTTTGTTTTCTTTTTTTAATCCACAAAATAGTGCAGAACACATACATAAGAAATGATGCTATTGAACAAGATTCTTAAAATTGGGCACCACCATCTCATAAAATCAGACAGACTGTTCACTTTTTCTGAGTTCCCATCACTCTATATTTTTCCCCAGTATTTAAACCTAATATCAGTTGACTTCGTTTTTAAATGTTTTATCTAAAATACTTGCTTTCTTAAAAAAAATGAAAGAAATTCTGTAATTATTTTAAATTCTAGTGACTGATCAACAGTCATGGCTTTGTATTTGCATGATTTTTTTGGCTATCATTTCAACGTTTCCACACCAAATTTACCACAGTGAGATACTGCAAGGAAACGTGTTTTAAGTCACCTGACTTTATTATGTAAATAGTAATATTCTTATTAAAAGAATAGCTTGTTTTTTTCTATATATACCATAGGAACTTTTATTTATCTTACAGAACTACTGTTTTCCCATTTTCTGAAGAAATGTTTATGTGAATTGTCTATGTTTCTCTTCTCCATATTTCCATTTGATATTCAGTATCTTGATGGAAATTATTTCAAATCTAATTGATATCATATTAATGTGGTGAAATGAATATAATTTATGAGTAGCTTACATTTTTTCTTAGCGCATACCAGGCTAATAAAATTATTTAAAAAGATATTTTGTTCTATAACATTTTCACATTATAAAATTTCATGCATATGACTTCACATAGTAATTCTTAGCTATATTCTGTGTCATACTAATAGTGGATTTTTTTATTCTTAATGTTTGTGGGTACACAGAAGGTGTATATATTTATGGGGTACATGAGAAGTTTTGATACAGGCATGCAATGTGAAATAAGCACATCATCAAGAGTGGAGTATCTATTCCTTCAAGCATTTATCCTTTGAGTTACAAACAACCCAATCACACTCATTGTTATTTTAAAATTTACAATTAAGTTATTATTGACTATAGTAACCTCATGTGCTATCAAATAGTAGGTCTTATTCATTCTTTCTTTTTTTTTTTTTTTGGTACCCATTAACCATTCCCAGCCCCTACTACCTTTCCCAGCCTCTGGTAACCATACTTCTACTCTCTATCTTCATGAGTTC